CCCGAGAAAATGAACAAGGCCACTGTGATCCTCTCCTGCCATCATGCACATTTGGTTTTAATAATGTAAGAATTATGTATTTAAGGAACTTTCACCTTGGGGAAACAACTAGAAAATATGAAGAATTACTAAATAAAGTCTAAAGTTTAATTCCACAAAGTAGATGATATCTCATGGTAGGTTCTGTGTATCATTTCTATTTGCTTGAAAAAAGATTGCTTCTGTAATAGTGTGGTCCCGAAGCACGTCCAGAAGGGGAATGGAAGCAGGGCTGTCTCAGAAGCTGACACAATCAGACAAATATTTTTAAAAGCCTGCAAAGATTTTACGCTCTCCAGTAGGCTGAGGCTAAACAGGATTTGTCAGAAGCAGGAGCAGGTATCAAGACAGGCTTTGTCAACAGCAGAAGCTGATGCTGGAGTAGTACTGGTCAGAACCATTACTCTTTACAGTCAGTTCCTGTCAGTATGATGCCTCTGAAATAACCAGTCTCCAAATTAATGTTTTCCAGTGAGCTGGCCTTTGAGAGTCAAAGAAACAAACAAATTAATCTGGAAGAATGAGCCTGCCTGAGACACTGATAAATCTGTTATGACAATGTAAGGCTTATTAAACACTAAGAAACATTATTTCCCTAGCCTCTGGGTCAAATTCAAGTTTTAAGGTTAATAGAGGAAATCAACATTTTTAAAAATGTCACATGGACTACTTTTTTTTTAAATTCTGCTTTTCACAGGGAATTCATAAACTAAACTCAAAAATATAATGCAGGTAGTGAAATTTTATTCAAATATCATAATATTTTGAGTTATAGGGACATAACTGAAATGGCATAACAAACATAACGTTAAAATGAAAGAAACAAGTAGGTCTCAGGTCTTCTCACATATTGCCATTTAAGTGTTCTTGAACATCAGCACTGGCTTGTCTTCAAGAACTCTGATAGAGTCACACACTATCTTTGCTCTGACTGCACAGAGATGAAAGGTAGGATATCTAAAGCGTATTGCCAAGGAAATAACTCAGGCTAGATAAAAGGAGTGCTTTGCAGAACAGAAAAGCTAAACAGTACTATTGATTATCATGATGTATGTTACAGGAAAAGAAGGTGGAAGCACAGGGGCTGCCTACACACAGACTTTCCTCGCAGAAGCAGCCACAGTTTCAGTAGAGGTTTTCTTTTCAGTTTATGCTGCTAGAGAAGGTTTCCTCTGAGCTGAAAGGATTTTGCAGGGGGCAACGGTACAACAGCTTGACCTGATATACCCAGGAGGGTTCCTTGGCCCGAAAACCTCTCGAGTTTGCTTCTTCAAGTAAAAAAAATAACTCCCACTGTGAATATTCATAGAAAGAAACAGACTGACACAGATATATATGAAAAACCCCATACTTCCCACTGCCACAGCCCGAAGAACTCATCAGGTGGAAAGCAGTTACACAATACCTTATCCTTTATATTCCACAATCCTCATATGTCTTCCTGTCAGAGCACATTATGTGGCCTAAGTAATTGCCTAATGGGACAAAAATCCTTAGTAACAAGATGTTACTCCACATTGCCCAATTGGTTGGTCTCTGTTACAGTAAACCATATTTTCATGCAACAAGATGAAAGGCCATTAATTTTCTTGTACTAAAAGACATGTGCTTAATGTACCTGTTGCCTCTGTGTGACAGCTAATGGTGCCAGGCAGCTTTGGATTTATCTCAATACTCAAAAGATAAGTTGACTAACAAACTTGAAGGCCCTTCAAACACCCCCCTGCTAGGACGGAGTCAGTGGATGCTGGTCTCCAGAACCTGACCGGCACTGACATGTTGAGAAATCCCATGCTGAAAAGCAATCCATGCCCCTCAAAATTAGGGTTGACCTGCATGGACGACCAGGAAGTCAAGAAGACTTTTACAGTCTCATTCGTGTTATTCTCAATATGTTTTTTAGTCTCATTATTCATTCAAAAGATTGTGATCTAATATCCACTGTTAGAGGCAGGGACCTTAGGCAGAATGGCTCATAAGAGGGATGGTCTTATGGCCTAGACTCAGGAGGAAACCTCGTTCATGCTCAGGTGGGCCAATCCAAGTCATTCATTTACATGTGCACTGGTTCAAGGAAAAAAGCAAACTGTAATTTTTTTTTGTCACTGCCACCAAATGCTCCTGTCAGTGCACAAAATTAAAAATCTCGTTCATGCTCAGGTGGGCCAATCCAACTCATTCATTTACATGTGCGCTGGTTCAAGGAAAAAAGCAAACTGGAATTTTTTTTTTGTCACTGCCACCAAATGCTCCTGTCAGTGCACAAAATTAAAAACGTCACAAATCCTGTAGGTGATCAAGAGCTGTGGAGAGGATATTTTACAGTGCCATCTTTCCCACCAGCCGTAGGAAGGATCTCTGTGTGCTAGCACGCCATGCGTCACCCAGCACACACCTACAGTTCACAGGCACGGGCTGATGAACACCCACACGAGCCAACTTTAAACCAGCTGCTTGAGCACAACAGCCAAGGCAGCACAAAGCTTTGTGGGGGTGAACTCCAAGGATATTTTTTCCTAGGATATTACCTAGCCAGCAGGTAGGCTTCCCAGCCACAGCTCACTGTCACCATGGTGATGTTTCCAGCCTGCCCCAAAACAGCCAGTTTAAGGCTAATTTGGATAAGCCTGCACTAGCTGCAGACATTTTAGTGACTGCAGCATAAACACACTTGTCGCAATGAAGGGCTTTCAGAAGGATTTCAAAACAGCCAGGTAATCTTTATTTTAAATGTATGCTGACACTATTCCCGCTGATGGAAGGAGGACAGGTGCAGGGGGAGTACAGGTGTGGGCAGCTTTCTTGAATAAGGCAAAATGCAAGGGAGTGCTGCAAGCAGCTCAGATTGCCTGTGACTGATTTGATACAATGGCACAGACAAAACCACAATGATGACGAATTTAGGTCCTCAATTTTTTCTTTATCCTCTACTGTTTACTTAGGTGTAGAGCTTCATAGGAAAATAATTTATTTCCTTATCTTTTGGGCACCACAGATGAGCTTAATTTTCCTAGTTTTTTATTAGTTCCTTATAGTAATAGAAAAAGAAGGTAATTTATTTATATAGAAAGCAAATTTCTAGACACAAATTAAACAGTTGACACAAACAAAACCATTATTCAATTTATCTGTATCTGAATTTCTTTCCTCATTACCTTCTCTTATCCTGGAATTAGTACATGAAAGCATCAAGTAACAGTGTCCTCTCATTCCCTTATCTGCTGCACACCTCATTTGTACTCACTGCAGCACTACGGTATCTCAATAGCCTGAAAAATCACTTGACACTGCATATATTCAGGTTGCACTCCCTTGGAAATAAATAATTCAATGCTACCTATTCTATAAACAACCCCATTGCAATCCCCCAGTAACCATAAGGATAAGCTCCTTTAATTGAAGCAGAGACCAGGGTTTGTATTATAACTGTATTATAAGGTCTGTTAAGAGATTCCCTTAACAGCTATAACAGACTGCTTAAGTAAGGTATTGTCTCTCTTCAGAGTAAAATATTTTTAAATAAAGATTACTTGTAAGAGCATTTTCTTTAAAAGATTACACAGTCAGATCAACCACTGTGGTCATGCCCATTGACATTAACCCAGAAGGCAGTGTTGCTGTTTTCTCTTTAATGGGTAATAGGGTAGCAAAGATGTCTTCCTTTACCCTGTCAACAAGTCCAAATAATTCTGAAGACTTTTAAGAATGAAAGCTGCTTGGCAGAGTTTCCAAGTGGTCCATCTTCTCTACACTGCACTTACAAAAATAAACTCCTTTCCTCAACAGACCAACTGCTCACATGCACCATCTCAGCTAGAATTAAGGGAAGAAAAGAGGAGGTGCCATTATACACTGAAGAGTTGCTCCTAAAATTGAGTGTCAAACATGATCTGTGTGCTACAGGGAATTAATGCATAGCAGCTGACACATTTTTCAAATTGCATCCTTAGTTGTTGCCCACCTTAAATTTGTAGATGCAATTGAGAAATGAATTAAATAATCTCCATAAAAATTCCCAATGCAGTGTTTGAAATTGTTCTAAAATCCTGAAAAAACGTAGAAAGATATCTAAAGAGTGATGATATAACAAAAGAACAGAATTAGCTTCTTGAATACTACTCCTTGATGCTTAAGAACCAAGAAAATACCAAGGTTTATCTTAAGGGTAGAACAAAAATTTATAACTCTCCTACCAGTTAATAGCAGAACTTGAAGTAAATGTCAGCTGAAATACAGATGGGCTCTCCCACAAAACCAGATTTTGCTGTCATGTGGTTCGTTTAGACATCAGGACTAGTAATTGAGTTACTAAGCTGCACTTGATGTACCTCACCTCTGCTACTACTTGAATGTCTTCATTTCTATACTTTAAAATTTTAATTGCATGGAAAATTTCTACAGCTGCACATTGATTTTCTGCCAATTTATTTTTAATTTAATAATTTTTTTTGTTTCATATTATAATTAGCAATTAGGATTCTATTTTGCCTATACAGTTTTATATTTGAACCTTCTTCTGGAAATCAGTCAACAGACTGAATTTTACAACTAGAGGGTGCTGGTGGACCATAATGTGAGATGGTATGCAAAACTCTTGATGACCTTTAGTAGAAAGATGAAAAATAAAAGAGATCAATTATTACTGCTCAGTAGGACAAGCTAATATACTCCAAGGTAATACAAATACTGCAATATTATCTAGTGTAAGTAAAAAGAAAATTAATACTTTATAGCTGATGCTTGGTTTAATTTTAAATTTAGTTACAAATTTGATGTTAAACTTCACTTCTGGCCTTAGTTTTTGTACTGTAATGAACAAAACCCCCTTATCTGAACAATATGCATTCCTTTTGCTTCCCTTTGTGTGAGTTGGAAAGCAATTAGAGTGTATTATTGATTAAGTGTTTTATGATAAAACACAAAAGCCATCAAGTAAGCAGGAAAGCAAGAAGGGACAAAGATTAATTTAACAATAAAATCTATAATTGAGGTTTTACAGATAGAATGTGGACATTAATTACAGATAAATCATTTAATAAGAGTTCTAACAAGAAAGTTATCTTCCAAAATTCATATAATTTCCGACACAAGGTAATTATTTTTTTGCCTTCCAGTATTGTAAGAAAAAATACAAGTATGAGAATAAATAATGTCTATAAATATACCATTCTGTATGTATAAAAGTTCCCCCTCCTATCCTTCCTCTCTTTCATTTATCCTTATTGCTTCTTAGAGTCTCTGACAATTCTGCAATTACCTTCAACTAACGGAAATATTAAAACTTTGAACTAGACCTTAAAGTTATCATTTCCCTCAGCCCCTGTTCCACACAGCTCAGTAACATCTGGGATTTGCCTTCCATTTCTTTGGATCAGAAAGAAACCCAAAGGACAAACTGTGGCCACTTGGTAGAGTGGCTGCCAGAAACCCCCATGAGCCTGGCCAGGAAGCTGGTGGAGTGTGTGTGACCATCCTGTGAAGAGCAGATCTCTTCAACTCAAACACGAGTGGCTGCAGCCAGCTTGCTGATCACAAAGTGGCAGTGGCTTGAAAAAGCTCCGGGTGTGCAGGTTCACCTGATGTCCAGTGAAGCCAGTGTGGCGTGCCATTCCTCTTCTTACATTCACAACTTTGACCTTTTGGTTGCGCAGAATTGCTGCATGTGGACAACATTCTCCTTGTGGGCAACTCCCAAGTGATCCAACAGTCCCTTTGTGGTCTGCATCAGCTCAGCACATCCTGGACATGCCAGAAATGTAGTACAATAGGTGGGATTGTTTGTTTCCACACTATGGAATGTTTCATGTATTTAAACCAGTCCCTTCCTAGCCTATGAGGGGCCAACAGTCCAGATTTCCCTTTATGAATTGCCTTATTTTCCTATTGTAACTAGCTGTGGTGCTCCATCTCCCCAGCAGAGACATGTATTGCATGCTCTCATGGGCTGAGGCCAAGTCCCTGTTCTCAGGAAACACACTCTACTCACATGCCTACCTACACGCAGCTTTCTTTTGGTCACATTTCTTTTTCTTTTTCACATTTCTTTTTCTTTGCCCTCATGAAAGGATGTACCCTGGCATCCACAGGAGACCAAAGCCCCTGCCCTATGCACACCAAGGAGCTCACGTTAAGGTAGTCTCCATGCCATAAAATTTCCTCTGGAAAATGGAAATCAGTCTCCTATCAGAACTATTTCATGCATAGGACCTTATTCTCCAAAATGCAGCATCCAGATCAATGAGTTGGGGACGGCAGCCATTATTTAACACATAGGGACACCAAGGCTCATGAGAGTCTCAGCCCCTTTTCACTCCTACTGGTAGCTATGTGCTAGCTAGCACGCAAACAAGAAAAGGTGTCATCACTGGTGAAAATGGGATTTTGTCTTGACAACTGGTTTGTTTAAAATAAAAACTTTCAAGGAGATAAACAAAACAAATCCAGTAAGAAGTGTCCAATGCAACAACAAAAAAAATTGTGACTTACATACTGCAGGCTTGCCAGATGCTACAGAAGCTGAGCCAGAGGACAAACTAATGTAAAAATGTATAACAAACCTGATACTGAGCTGCATCTTGTGATGCCTCTCCAAAATTCCTGATACCTTCAGTCTAGAAAGTGGCCTGTTTGTTTTTTATACACTGTATCCAGTTTGTGGCTAAAGAAACAGCAGTTAAAATTTGCCCCAATGTTTTATTGCCAGCATAGTCTAACACACTTAACTGTGCCTGCTTCATGGACACAGTTGTTGGGGTTTTTTCCCTAAATGAGCTGATTTTACAAAATTAGTAGTTCTCTGATCTTTATTTTTCCACATAGACAAGATCTGCTTACTTGATGCTGCCTTCACTTACAAAGCCTAAATAATAATATAATAATTACACCTTAGCTTTTTCTTCAACAGTGCCAGCTGAAATTATACATGAACAAGATGTTTGGTGGGTGTTTCTTTTTCCTCTGGAAATCAGCAGAAAAGCTGTTAAATACTACATATACTAGAATACTGATTTTAATAATACTCAACGTGCACATCAGTTTCATTGTCAGAAACACTTTAAATTTCTGTATGTTACTAATAACTGAAGAGCGTTATTCAGCTTTATAATGTAGTAGGCATCGTCCTTCATATATATTCCTAAAGCAGGATGTATGCTGTACATTTATATACAAAGTTGGTCAGAGCACAGACATTGCAGTGTCATGCTTTCATTCGAATTTCAGATGCCATATGTTCAGTACAATCGCACGGCATCAAAATGCAACATATTGCTTTGCAAATGCAAATAATTTCACACAGTGGCCTTCATGACTGGGAAGGGATAATGAAATGGGCTATATTTTACACATATGAAAAAATAAATAAAAGATTTATCATAAATATATGGACCAGTATATGACGTTGAAGAACAAGAAGCAAAAAGGAAACAGTGCTCTTGCATAAAGATCGATTCTCTTTGCTGCTGATGGAATGACAGGCTTGGGAGGAGGAGGCTTCTTGTTGTTCTTGGCTTGAGATTTCCCGAGCCCATTGTTGACTTCAATGGGCTTCCCATAACAGTCATAATTTGATAATTCAAAATCCCTTGGCAAGCTTCCAACGATGCTGAAATCATTGGATCTCAGATCAGATTTCGAAGTGCAAACTTTTTTGCATCTGGTCTCACCAACCTATGAAATAAATAGTGAGGGAATCATGATCGACTCACCACAACTCATTAGCAAACTTCATGCAGCTGCTAAAGAACACTGCAAACAAACATAGAGCAAATTACTTGTTGATAGGGATACATTACATCAGACTAATTTGTGGAATGGTTATGTTATAAAGTACTTAAGGATGATCAGTCAATCATATCAACTAATCCAAACATTTATAATTGTGTAATTTTTCATGCACAAGGTGCCTCATGCTCTGCAATCTGCTATAGTTAGACTCCTTCATTTTAAGATGACAGAAGGGGAGAGAATATTTTTGTGGGGAGTATTTTTGGACTTTGATTCTGTGCTGATGAACCTGTAAACCTGATACTATTCAATACTTGCATTTATCTAAGCTCTGAAACCCACAGTCAGAATTAGCTCTAAAATTCAATGTTTGATACAATTAATTTCAGTTTATTCTGGTTCTAAAGACTTATCAGGTCAGGATCCTGTATCTCATCCTAGGGTGACCATCTTGTATTGCACCTGTGGAGCTTAGTGCCTCTCTAAAGACAGGGAACACAGATGTAACACTATTCTCAGCACTGCAGAAGTGTTTACCTGGGAAATCTAAATCCAACAACAAAATTCCTGTGTTTCCTATAGCGCCTTTAGTGCTCTTGGGGATCAAGTAATAATTAAATGTTCCTATATTCCCTTCCTTGGATTTTATAAACTTTTTATTTCAGATTCAACACATCTCCAGGAGAACCAACCCCATACTGTTCAGGGAGCTTCAGTAATTTAGAGACTACTTGCAAGGCACTGTGCTTTGTGACTTGGGTAAACCACTCCCAGATTTTCATTTCAGTTGGACTACTCAGGAAAGCAGAGAGAAAAAAGAAGAAAAAAGAATACAGACTATAAATTTGTTCACATATATAACCTTAGCTTTAGTTGAAAACTGATAGTTTTCAGGCTGTACCCATGGGCAACTGATGTAAGTTTCAATAAGGCTTCCTGGAGCCACTGGTCCACTAAAACTCAGTTAGTCCAAAAGCTGCCTGTCCCTTTTACTCATTAGCCTGTCTCTCCTCCACAATGGCCTCAGGTAGTTTACCCTCAGCTCTCTCCACCTCTGGTTTTCTGCAGTTTTTGGCTGATAGATGGATATTTGCATGGTCATATTTTGTAGCTACTAAAATAACAATAGTGTCATAAAATACAGTACCAGGTTTATGGATTAATGAAAAAATATTCTGAGGATATTATTAGCTTCTCTATGACAGTGACAACTTCTGCGTGGAAAGAACTGAGGCAGTCAGGAAAAGACGCAAACTTTGATTTGGGCATTTACTCCCATTATTGACAAAACTGATTCTAGTGCATGGTGGGAAAAAAAGCATGGCGCTATTCCTTCTGAAAAAGAGTGGATGCACCTTCCCAAATTTTCCAGAGTTCTCTTTCTCCTGAAAGCAGTACATTTTGAAACCAATGCATTAAACAGCAGTGCAGGTTTATCCTGGTTCCAGCCAGGGAGAGAGTTAATTTTTGCAGTAGCCAGGAGGAAGCACAGCCAGGGCACAGAGGTTATTCTATATCACCTCATGTCATTGCCAGGGCTGGGGAAAGAGATTCTCTCCTGGCACAAAGACTTTTCTTCTGGTTGACAAAATGTGCAGAGGGAACCATCTGGTATTGCCTATTGCCAGAGAATTTTTCTGAGTGAATAATTTATTTTCTTACACCTTTTGTTGTTAATATTATTGCTGTTAACTGCCTGTTTTCTTATCTCATTGACATTTCCAGTAAATTTTTCTTATCTCAAATCACTATCTTTACCTTTTGTGCCTCCACTTGGAGCAAGGAGGCGGAGCACTGCATGGTTTTGGTGGGAGTACTAAATTGGAGAATACCATTTCTAAAACACCACAAAATCAAGAGTCCAGGTTATAAAAAAGAAAAACAAGATAGGTGTTCCTTGATGGCAGGACAAAACTATACATACAAATCTCTTGCAACTGTCTCCCAGTCCTCAAAGATCTGACAGCCTAAGACAGTGTTCATTACTGGAGTAGCAGGGGCAAACTGTCCAGTAAGGTGGTGACTAAGACACAGATAAACACAATTATATGACCCTGGGTGACAGGATGCTATTATTCACCAGTCTGAGACATTTCTTCCAATCAGATAATATCCAATGACATAGGTAATAAAGATAGAAAGCAGACCCTTGTGCAATGAAAAATGAGCTTGCAGGACTGGGGTGCATGTTAACTGAAGAGTCATAGTAATATTAGATTTTTTCCATGGTGAGACCTAGCAAGATTTAGTAAGGCCACTACAAGAAATAGAATCGTGTATGAAATTATAGGCCTCCTTTTGGATTTGAAAGCTTGTAGTCCATTCCTCATACTACCAGCAATATGTTGTAAAAATTCAGTGACACTAATTGTAGCCTAAATTCTCTCATTTAGAGCACAGAATATTCCTGTTCCAACTGCAGTATCTAGAGTGCTCCCCTAAAGGCTGTTACAAGTCGGTTCTCATTCCCATTCAGGACTGAGAGTGGATTCTAGGTCACCTCTGCCTTATAAGCAGAGAACTGTTCACAGCATGTTCACGCAGAGCTCTGCTTAGCTCAGTGTCAGCTGGAGTACTGATTTATCAGGGTGACACAATTTTCCTTGTATGAGCAACCTGGCCCAAATTTTTCTTTACTAAGTATATGTAACTTTTGAAAATAATTTCATCTATTTCCTTGGCTTTACAAATCTGACATTCTTCGATTTACTACACTCAGCTGCTGCATAAACATATTTTAAATTTTTTTCTCTTATGTCCCTTCAACTCTCCAATGTTTCTGTTGTTTTAATCTAAATTCACTCCAGTTGACCTACAGCATTCCCTAAATATAAAGTATATATGATTATCTGCTTTGTATTAATTTTGTCTTGATTTATGCTAGAAGCCTAACAATAATCCTAACAATGTCTCTGTTCCTCCTCACTTTCCACATTTACTGCACAAAAAACTTACCAAAGGCTATAGAAATGTTTTCTGTACAAAAAAATGTTGTAGGACTTGATTTTAGAGTACTACGCTGAAGATTTGTAAAGAAAAGTAAAATGTTAAATCCTGACACAGAAAATATTTTATGTCATTTGCCTTATCCTGCCCCAGCATCATGACCTGTGGGCCAGACCCAACCCACAGGATGCTTCCACCAGATTGATGGCTTTTCCCCAGCAGGGTACAAGGAGCAGCTATTTTGGGAAGGGAAGGATTCAGGGATAGTGTAGGGACACCCGGCATTCCCAGGGAGCTGGAAACATCCTTGTCCCTTTGGCATGGACTGGGGGAGGCCAAGGACACCACAGGAAGGTGATGGCTCTTGGGGCTTGGCCCGAAACACAGACCTAGTTCTCTGTTTTTTCCAGGACTGAACCACCTTGTCTAGGTTTAGTATGATGCCTTTTGATGAACAGCTCAGAAATGCCTAAAAATGCCTCCTAGAATCCATAAGGCCCCTTGTGATGATCCTTTCTCAACTTTTAAATAATTCAGGCTGACTGGTGCTCGCTGCCAAGATCAGCACCTGCTGCTGCTCCAGAGCTGCAACACGTGTGCCTCTGCAGAATGCCTTTGGTTGCAGAATTAGGGGAATAATGTAAGAAGAAAATGGGGAAGAGATGAAACAGTAAGTGCTGCCTATGCATGCAGACTGGCAGGGAGGAGCAACTAACTCCCCAGCTCTGCCTCTGCTGCTTCTGGTGCTCCTCCTCACTTTCCACATTTATTGCCCAAACTAGTTACACTAGATTTTCCTTTAAAAACATCCAGGATGGAGAATTTTTTCCATGACCTTGTTCCTCAGAAACATATGTACCTTATTTCTAATCTGAATTTATTTGGCTTCAATGTTCAGACACAAGGCATGACTACAGTTAGTCTGATTAACTGCTGGTACGCAGAGATGGTAACAAATCTAACCTTGATTTTGCATAATTCAGATGATGTAATCAGGCTGACATATGAAGCCAAGAAAAATGTTCTTAAAGAGTATCTTACCTTTGCATCATTACCTCTGTCAGCCTAATTGATAATACTTAAAAAAATATATTCAGTTTGCTTAAATCAATAAACACACAGAACAACTTTAATTTCACTGCCCCATTTACTAGTTAACATAGGGCTGAATTATGAGTAATATTAAAGATAATTAATACTTACAAACAATAATTATTAGTCAGAGCCTTGTAAGCTATGCAATATTCTCCACTGATTGATGTCAGGCTTATAATTATTCATGTTATGCCACTTAGCTTTTAAAAGTATTGGCACAAAGTTAGCTTCTTGCTGTATTTTGAAACCCTCCCAGATCTAAAGGATTTATTAAAAAATCAACATTAATGTTCCACAGCACTCAAAGACCAGCTCTATAAAAAAATTCTAGATGAAACTTAAGCTGAAATCTTGATTGTGAAATGTCTGACTTTAACAGTTACTGTTTAACATTCTTATCAGCTACTGTGAAGGAGAGCTATTTCATCCACACATTGAATATATCTGGCTTTTCCCTAGACATTGAGTAGAATATTTTTTCAATGCTTTTTTCTTTTAAGTTAATTCTTGATACTTATAGAACCTCTACCTCTACCCAGTATAGTACCATTACTCATCTTAGAAGATATTATATTCTTGCTCTGTACGCAAAGTAACTTCCTATTGGCCTCAGTTATGCTAAGCATATATCTATTTTCTTACTTACACAATTACTTTATTGAGTTCAGCTTGTATTAACTACTATCACCTCCCATTTGCCAGTGAGGAGAAAAGAGAAATGCTCAAAGCTGAATTAGTTTTAAATCTTTGAGGAATTTATTTTCAATTGTGCTGTTTGTTAGGTTTTGGGGTTTTTCTTAAATTAGTGTAGCTTTACTTCTGGTTTGAACATTATTAGCTCACCAGCCCCATTTACACTTTTTGTTTAAATTCTTCCATCCAGATTAGACAGTTGTCAAATT